AAAGTCGTTGAAAAAGTAATGGAAGATGTGAAAATCACGAGAGAGAAAAAAAAGCAACAACCTCTCTTCACATAACACCTAATTAAATATTTCAATAACTCTCTCGTTGAATTAAATTTTTCAACCTCACCATAGAAAAGTTTCAAAATATATGTTCATCAATCACTTTTACAAATTCACCTGTTCGTTGCTCTACTTTTAAAAATATATTTTTCAACAATTAGAAAGGTTTAACAATTTCAATAATTTTTTTTTTTTTTTTTTGTATCTATATATAATCATTTTGCACGACAAACTTATTATTTTTAGTTAAAAATCACGTCCGTCTATTATATATACACGTACAAACATTATTTATTACTTTATTTTCTGTTTTAAAAAGGTCCAACAGGTGGTCAAGAATTTTTTTTCTTTAACAAATATATTCTATAATTATTTTAATTAATTATTTTTGTTATTATTGACACAATGGAGAAGTTGAAAAAAAAAATAATTTTATATAATTTTTTTAATTCTTTACTAATAAATAATAATTTTCCAAATAGTTAGGTATAACTCTGTTTAAAATAAAATAAAACATATAAAATTTTGATTAGTTTCCAGAATTTTTATATTTATGATTATTATGAAACTCAAAAGAAAATAAAAAAATTATAGCAATTAAAAAGTAATTTTTCTCTATTATTGTATTACATATGACAGGTCATTTAGTCCATAATCACATGGATACTGTAGGAAATAATATAAGGGATGGAAAATTAAATGACTCTACTTTTACATTCAACAAAGCCATTCGTTATACTTTCAGATTTCTAGCTCGTTATTCATCACTTTTTACCAGCACCATAACGAATCATCCACTTCTATGCACTTTACTGCTTAACAAGCGGCGCATAAAGAGAGAGAGAGAGAGAGAGAGAGAGAGAGAGAGAGAGAGAGAGAGAGAGAGAGAGAGAGAGAGAGAGAGAGAGAGAGACTTGGATCCGCGATAATAAACCTTCAACCATTAGGCACGCGCTTCGCAAAGGCTAGATCACCACCTGAGATCATTTCTGTACCCTCATTCGATCAGATGTACCTTGATCACGCGATATCATGAAATTGATCATTTCGATCTTTCCTACTTAATCTCTATTAAAAAAGAATAATAAAATAATAATAATAAAAAAAAAAATTAAATGGATAAAAATAATTCCCGTATGAATGGTGTATATGTATAATATTTGTCAGTATATAGAGTCTAAAGATATTTCATGTCACTATAAATTCAATAATACATCAACATAGATTTCATTTAAATTGCACTATTAACGTTATATAGTCAGAACTTGTAAAATCGTATATATTATTATGAAGACATTATAAAATATATGGGATCAAGTTCACTTGAGATGGTGAAATATATAGAATTACAAAAGGATTGCCTCAGCTCTTACATATTAAGTCAAAAATATTATTATATTATAATTATTAATATTATATATTTTAATATTATTCTATTATTATTAAAATTATAAAAATTTAAATTATTTTTTAATTATTTAACTCTCAATTTTTAAGGACTTCGTAGGTCAGGGCCGAAACTCTTATAGCGAGAATTTGTGTCCGTCTGTCCGTCCGTCAATAACCATAGTTTGTCTACTATAGCAACCGCTATCATGGAAACGGTTACCATAGCAACGATCACCATAGTAACTGTTTCCACAGCAACTGTTACCATTGAAACCTTCACCATAGTTACCATTACCATTACGGTTACTATAGCAACTGTTATTATAGCAACCGTTACCATAGTAACAATTCTTGTAACAGCGCTTATCATGACTAGAAAAATGTTTCTTTGATATAGGGTCAAAGAAATGTTTTCTTTAATTTGAATAAAATTTCTTTAATTTAAGGAAAATTTTGTTATTCTAAATAAAACTTTGTTTGAAATTGAAAAAATTTTATTTAAATTTAACATTTTTTTAAATACAATAATTTTTTTTTTTAAATTATAGAAAACTTTTCTTTGACCCTATGTCAAAGAAATACTTCTTTGATTCAAAGAAACATTTTTCAGGGTGTAGCAACCGTTACTATGGTAACTGAATTTAAGAATGTTTTTTCTTCGATGCAGCAATCACGTTAAAGTAACACCATAATTTTTCTTAATATAATAATAACGCATTTCAATTTTAGAGTAACGTGACGAGCATCATTAGATACGTTATAATTTAAATAGAACCTAATAATATATTTTAAAATTGAATAACACGACTATTTCGTAAACAAAAAATCGAAACAGGTCAAATCTTACGTCGATTATACATGCGAGATATTTGTTGGCAAGTTATATATCACGACAATCAATTTTTGGAATTTCAGTACTTAAAGTATCGAACTATATAGTATATATGTGTGAACCTTAAGGGGACGATTCAAAAGATACATTCACCGTGAAGCATTCATATAGCTTTGGTATTATCGACGTAACATAGTCACGAGCGACCAACATTCGCTACTGTCTCTATTTTAGTGCACAATCTTTAAGAAGCGACATGAAACATTTACAGCATCGGATAATGCTTATCAGGATCCCGGTTCTACTATCCGATAAATTTTAAGACGTGTATCTTTATTTTTCTCTATATTCTCTAAATCTACAGTATTCACAAAGAATCTTATAATTGTGATGCTCCACGAGAAAAGGGACCTTATGGTAAACAAATTTTAGGTTATGTTAGTGATAAACGAAAAATATTTAGACAGCGATCTGAGAGACCGGTACAGCAGTTTGAAGGTTAACTTTGATTCGGATTATGACAGATCGAAATTTCAAAAAGAATGTAATACATCCCTGAGAATATTGTGAATTGTAAAGCAACATCTTGTAAGAGGTTAACATAAATGTTGTGTATACGAATGAGAGTATCGATTCTTGAGATGATACGTTCTAAACAACCTACACATGTAATTCCAAAGAGCGAATTCCAAAACGACCTACGGCCTACGCTCTAGTACATTGCACACGCGTCTGATTGCACGTCCCATATAAAATAGCTATGTATACGTAAGGAGAGGGACATTAATGGTAGTAGCCAAGACTATAAGCCGCGAGAGGGTACACACAAGTTGAACTCGGAAACGAGCTTCGCTTATAATCGGCCGGCAACTTTGAAGATACGGTCCGACCAGTTTTTATACTTCCGTGACATAATACAGCCAAGATATTTTATTTTAAGCGTATTGAAGAATTCCACTTATTTTGAAAGTAAAAGAAAGTCACCTGTAGCGGTATATCACCAACACCTGTCGGCTAATTAACAAGAGGAAAAAAAAAAACCTGATACACCTTTATATGACTCTACTTGAGAAAGGTTGTTCATGCTCAGATTCTCAACAAAATGATATCATTTTATATACATTGAATGATATCATTTTATATGATCGAAATTCCATTTACCTATTTTACATTACACGCTGAAGGATAGTTGATGGTGTTATTTCAATCATACAGTTAAAATGTATTGCTTCGAGCTCTATAAAGTATAATTTTAATTTTTACCACAATTTTAATGACTATTACTTAAGTCAGAAGGATCAAAAAACAGTTTTACTTGGATTTTTTATATAAAGATGAGTAAAGTTATTTATTCAGAAATATTTGCATGAAATTAAGTAAAATTTGAAGAATATTTAGTAATTATTTTATAGAAAAATAATATTTATAATATGACTATTTTACTAAAAATTATCATTTTCTGGTGGACGTGATAACTCGAGATCAACTAAAATAAAAAACAAAATGATTTCATTTTAACTTCTGTGTGAACAAAAAATTTTGAACAAATTGAATTCTGCATTTTTCCGTAAACTTTAATGCCAAAAGTTAAGAAAAAAAAATTATGACTTTTGACTTTAAAGTTTTTGTAAAAATACAGGATTTAATTTGTACAAAAATCTTTGTTCATACAGAATAGTTAAAATCATTTAATAATGAAATTTTTTTGGTATTTTGATTTGACAACAGAAAAAAGTTATTTTTAGTAAAATAATCATAACTACACGGAGAGAAAAATCTGCCTTTTATAGTATGAAATAGATTGCTGCTATTTTTCTTTAAACTTTTCATACTAATAGAGCAAAGATTTGAGAATTTTTAGGATAGTATTTGTCCGTACTAAAAAAGCATAGTATATATGCTTCTATAGTACGAAACATGTAGTTTAATAGCAACAACGCCATGCGAAGATCGCACATAACATCATCCTACTATGTTTGCATAAGTTCTATGCTTTTTCGGGGATAGACTCTTGCAACTGGCGATTAGGCCACGCCCACTTTTACTGAATTGGAAGTAACTGTGTGAATACTCACACAAATGCCTAATCGCCAGTTGCAAGAGTCTATCCCCGAAAAAGCATAGAACTTATGCAAACATAGTAGGATGATGTTATGTGCGATCTTCGCATGGCGCCGTTGGATTAAAAGTATAATAAGTATGTAATAAGAGGCTATATGACAAACTTTATTAGCATAGACAAGTTTCATGCTAAAAAGACATACGATTGTACTATAATTACTCAAATTTCATGTCTATATAGCATAGAAAATTTCTGTGCATTAAATGTAAACCTTTCTATACTATAAAAGGCAGATTTTTCTCTCCGTGTACTATAATAATTATTATTTTTCTATCAAGTTATTACTAAAAATATTCTTCAAGTGTTACTTAATGTAATAAAAAAAATTTCTAAATAACAATTCAAATCGCGAGGACATGTTTCGTTTTCAAAAAATTCAATATTTTTTTGTACTCTGCGAGTGTAGATGAAAAAAATTTCATCCTATAAAAAAGTGTTGCTATAAATTTTTTGTAAATTACACCAACAGAAGAAGATAATCTTCTATTCGCGAGGGTATATACAGAATTCCTAGTAAAAACCAGATTTTAAATTTCAGGTACTTTGCAGGGGTAATTTTGGTAAAATTACAATAAAATTTACAAATTTGCTCACCAATCAGTGTAAATTCCAAATCGCGGAGCATTACTGTCTTATTTGTACTTCTACATAGATTGAGAACACAATAATTCCTGCATCCATTGGTGCACTAGCTGAAAAATAAAAAAAAAAAAATTATAAATTATTTAAAAATTATTTACAATTTTCAAACATATGCTACTTTTCTTAATTCAAAAAAAAAAAAATTTACTTCAAGCGAGTAAAATTGGATCAAGAAAATATTGAACTAAGTCAGTGAAAATTCAATAACTCACTGGAATCAATGAAATTTTCACTGATATTAGTTTTAAGAAAATAGATTTTTTTCTCCTATAAATACTTTTTAAAGAGTAAATCTTTTTAAAATTATTTTTACTTTAAACTAATGTGATAAGAGAGCATACGAGAGAAACCAAGGAATCGAGTAAAATATTTCCAAGTACAATGAAAGCGAGAAAATAGCCTCAAGATATTTCAGCACCTATAAAACTATATTCTTCTGAGTCGTTAATGCTTGTTAATGCAAGTTAGTTGGAACGTGGACGCTGTGCATTACCTAGGCGAACTATAATCATAATAATCGGCTTTATTACCCAGCATTAACATACGCTCGGGCTCTCAAATAGGAAGATGTACGTGATATATATAAAATCCACATAATAAAACGTATCCTACGACAAGTAAACGACTTGAGAAATAAGGATATTACTCTACGCGTATGACTCGTCATTTTGTGAATATTGCACATTCAATTATGTATTCAACTTGGAGAGTTCAAAATGAACATTTTTCAAAATTACTTTTTTTGAAACTGAAAGTATTCATTTTTCTTTGAATTTAATGAACAAATTAATTTTTCAAAATTAAAAATTTCCAAAGAAAATCCAAACTTAAAAAAAGTTAAATTTACCTTCAGAAATTAAATGACTTTTTCCTAAAGTAATTAATTTAAAAATAATAAAAGTTTAAACACAAAAAAGAAAAAGATTTCAACTACGAGTTAACGAAACGTATAATATCGTATAATGAAAATAAACAATGAAAGTTTTAAATCCGGAACATAGCGAAAGAACGTAATCGAATCGCAGTTTACAATCTATATCGACCTGAACTCTAGTTTTGCATCTTCCATTCACCTGCTCAGGACGCTGACCGTATTGGCAAACAGAACACTTTATTATACGCTACGGTCGTGCGGTTATGCAATCACGATGAAAGAAGCATCGTACACTTGCATCCGCAGTATACATGTATATATATGTACATCATAAATGTGAAGCCGCGCGATTGCTGAGCAAATTATTACAAGAAAGTGAAGTCTACTTTGATATATCCATAATATATAAAAGAAATTAAGTATTTCACTCTCACACATATTAGAAATTATGAGCAATTGAGTTATTTTTATAATATTATCAATAAAAAATGTCAAAATAAAAAAAAATTTATAATATTCCATTTAAAATAGCGAAATTACGGAGAACATTTTTTAATTTTTCTAATATGTACTTAGAAAATTTTGTAATACATACACTATTTAAGTTAATGAAGATTCTAACTTAATTATATAAACCGTAAAAAATTACGATTTATTAAAATTTTAATTGATAATATTCTATATACTGCATCATAAAATATATGAATCACTTCAAGTTTTATATTGAGAAGAAGACTAAAATTTATAATGAAAATTATAAAACATATAATAAATATTTCTTATATTGCGCAGCTCTATAAACCCTGAATCCTTTTTTTTTTAAATATATCTAGATAAGGTAAACTCCCTCCGTATGTATATAGTTTCTTCATCTTTCGAGGACTTACGTCAGTTTAAAGGTCTTGACTTTTCGCGTTTCAGCAATTTTTCAGGATAATAATTTATTAGGATTACTCATATTATTAAATTTATATAATCATGTTTTACACACGTTTGCATAAAATGGGAATTACATGTAAATTGTGTGAACGACACCAAATATTGTGTACACAATCGTTTACAATAATTGCAAATAATTACAACGTTTAAAATTATATTGTGTGTTGTTGAAAGTTTTCATTATTGAAAAATTGAGAAAAATTCTATTGTTCACAACTATCAGTTAATTGAAATACAAACTTGTAAACAATCATATATATAATTTAAAATCACAATACAATTTATTCAGTGTGGCTGCAAAATTTCTTGATACTTTTCTTTTATTTACTAAATTTTCTATGGTAATTAAAATTTTTTTCAACATTATATAGAGCACTACAAGATAATTTCAGATAATTCGGAATATTTCAGATGATCCTAAATACTTCCAGACAATTTAAATACATACTTTTAAATAATTCAAGATATTTCAATTTGGCTCAACCAAAATTCTTTTAAATAGAAATTCTGCCAAATATATTAATTCAAAGAAACAAAAAAAAAATTAGATTAAAAGAAATTCAATTATAAATCATTTCTAAAAATCATTGCAAAATTTAGCTCTTGAATTGATACATAGAAAGCACGTAAAGGTTCAACTATAAACAACCCTATTGTTGACAGTTTTAAGACAGTGGGAAACAAACTTCGAATCATTAAATCACAATATTCCTTTGAATTCTGACAAAAGCGATAAATTTTGTCAGTTAGTTTGAATCGCAACTGAATTTTCATTAAGAAAATAAATTCCTCATTTAGAGGTTGATTCGTATATATACCGTAATAAAAGTTTATATACTATATAGAATTAATATTGCCTTTCTCTTGATGCATAAAGCTGATAAAAAGAATAGAGAGAAAAAATTTAAACCAGGATATTAATTTACGTTCTTGAAATTTTATAATTTAACGTTCCTACAAATTCTTTATTATAAAACGTTTAACGATATAAAATGCTAAATAGTTTCAATCATCGCCCTCTTAACCTTATATACTTCAGACTACATTTACATTTTTTTTTTTAAACACTTCGATAATACTATGTGCAAACATTTTGCATTTCTATACTGAGTTGACTTGAAAAATAATACAATATTATATATTAAGCTGCATCTGACATCAAAATTAATATCATATATAAATTATGATAATAGATTAAATAAATGAATTATATAGTTGAAAATTTGATTAGAGAAGAAATTTTATTGAGAAAAGTGATTTTATCCTCAAGAAGAGATATAAAAAAATTAAAGTTGTGCCGAAAAGCTTCAAGTTTATAAATTGCAATTAATTGGAGGTGAAGTTACTCTCTTGTAAGTGAAAATACTATGTATAAACCATGATAATTTATCGTCATAGTTCGCGACCTGTATTACGAGTTTGCTCGGGCATAACGGCTATATATATATATATATATATATGCGTGCGTGTTTTTAATCGATGGTACATTTAATCTGCTTCTAGTAATTACTGGCGTAAAATTCGATTCAATTGCTATCACCTTTTAAGTGAGGAGTCTTTCAAATTTTCCCTTGAGGCTAGATAGAAATCCATTTTTATTCCAGAGTCATTGCAGCTCTAGTTTTGCCATTAATCTCATATCACGTGCCGGAAGGCTTTAACAACTTTTTTTTCAGTATATATATGCTTTCTGAATTTGAATAAGTGAAATTTTACTACTACTGGATGCAGTCAATGTTTATAAAATTCAAAAATTAAGAGAGGTGAATTTAAACCAATTTTCGTTTTTTTATAAAATTCAGATTCGAGTATGAATGACAATATTTATTAAAACAAAATTTTATTCAACAGAATATCTATTAAGATATAAAATTTTCAATTTCCCTAACGGAGTCTATTCTTTATACATAAATTTTTATTTAACCACACAATTTTTTCTAACGAATTTTTACTAAACATTATTTTTACGTGTCCTAATAAATTAAAAGAAAAAAAAAAATCAAATGTTATGTCCGAAATATAAATATTGTATGATTAGCAAAACTAATATATCACTTTTCTCAGAGAGGTAAAATCGAGAGAGAGAGAATGAATATTATAATAAAGTGGTATTCGTACAATAATATAGTGATTTTGTATTCAGTTTTACTTTATTTGAATGAAGGAACGATTTCTCTTGGTGTGGTCGCACCCTAGGAGGAAGTTCGTTATAAAAGCACCGCTGAGAAGCTAACGACGACGATGACGATGATGATAATAATCGCGTTGGTCTCTCTCGCGTGCTCAGATCTTTGCTTAGATCTGTAGTCAGATCGAGCATATTCTCACGCACTGGATGCTTCAAGATATTTTACAAGATTTCATCGTGCACCACCACACCGGTACCCTATAAGGATTCCGAAGTCAAGACCACCACCACCACCACCCGTTAAAAACCATATGTGCAAAATGAACACGCCTTACGGTTAATGTGCTATTTAACAGACAGTTGAAGTAGAAGATTTTTTTTTTCATTCAATGCATATTGCCAGAGAAAACGCAACAACCAACTTTAACTTGCATATACACGAGTAATGAAATTATAGACGTCATTAAAAAGTAACACGAGTACAAGACACACCACCTAAGTTTCCTTAGTCTTTACTGCAGGCAGTTCTCTTTCAAAAAAAAAAAAGTAATAAAAAATTCCATATACCCTAATTTTATCGACAAGAAAATCGAGAAGATGAATTCAACAATAAAACTATTAATTGTAATGTGTTTTAAAGAAATTATAATTTTTTTAAATTAATTATACATAACATAGTGACACAAAAACTATTATACAGGAAAATTAAAAAAAAAAACAAAACAAAAATCTGTTTTGATCTATTATATTTAACAAAAGAAAAAATTAAAATATCAAGTTTTCTTTTCCAAAATTAAATTTCAATTAATTTAAAATTCAAGTACAATAAAGTTATTTAATTAAAAATAACTATTTGTTATTTTGTAATTGAATAAAGAAAGGAATGAAAGATTTAAAAAAAAATATGTGCAACATCAATTTACATCAGTGGTGTCACTATGTTATTTAAAAAAAAGAATTATAAAAAGAGACTTGCCAATCACGCATTCTATACCTTGTTGAAGTCGATGGCAGTATCGTCTTTTCAGGATCAGTCTTGGCGCATAGATAAGACCTTCTTCTACGAACACGAGGAATTGTTTCTAAGGCCAATTTCTATCTCTGCATCCTTTTTCCTCTCCGTCAATTCTGTCAAGGCACATTTAAAAGTAAATAAAATGCAAAATATATCGGACAGAATATTACAAAAGTAATAAATAGTATATCAAGAGAACAAAAATGATATTTTTAAACAAATTTAAAAAGTAGATAAAATATTTATTACTTTTATTATATAATAATTATATTATATTATTACTATTATCAATAGAATTACTAAATTAAAATACTAATTATTTCACTATTTAGTATTATAGTTTTATTTTAAAATTATTATCATTATTAAACTAAACTTAAAAATGAAAAATTAATTAAATTGACAATATTTTTTAATAAATATTCTATCATAAATTTGAATATATAACAATAAAAAAAAACTTACTATATTCTTTTTCTTTTGTTGGAAATGTAGCGCACAAACAGCATCGACAACTTTGAAAAAATGTTTACTCTGCAAATGGGCACAATTTGATTGTCCGCCAAAGGAATCAGCCGAAGAAATACCGATAAAGGAATCTGTAAATTCAAATTTTCTGTAATTCTAACCTTTAACTGTGTAAAAAATTTCTTTTTATTTAGTTTTCAATTTACAATTTCTAACTTTGTTTTTTAATTAGAAGAAATATCGAAATTTTATGTATAAAAGATTGTAATAAATAACTATAAAAATCTTACCTTTTTCTTTATTAAGACTCTTACACACCGAAAACTTATGAGCATCTATATTTTAGATTGATACGATTTTTGCCGGAGAATTTAAAATTAGATTTTAAATATTTCTGAAAAATGAATGAAATATAAATTAATTTTAAGTCAATAAATTTAATAACATGAAAATGAAATACTCACTCGAAATATGAATAACGGTTACTGTAAAAAAAAAGACAGCTGCGATTTAAACGATCGCAATGCTGAATAATAAAATTAAAAAAAAAAATACCGGAAAAATTTGCAATAGCAAATAAAAAAATTTGTCATTTAAATTTAATTTAAAATTTAAAGTTTTCTCTAAATTCACAAATAGTTAACATTTTGTGTAATTCAAATATTAATTTATACTAAAAGTATAAAATAATAAATTAAAAAATAATTACAATGTCAACTAATTTGAGTAGAGATAGGGGCATATAATTTAATTTGTTGAATCATTAATAAAATTTTCATATATGATAAATATAGTATAATAAATAATATATAATACTTAATACATAATATTTATAAATATAGATTAAAAATATAATAAATTAAATAATCCTGAAAAAATAAATGATTAATACAAGGGGTCATTAATAAACTACGTCACGCTATTTTATTAAAATTTTGAAATTTGAATTCCTCCTCCCCCGGGGGAGGGTGGATAATAATGTATATAATTTAGCGCTATTTTTTCTATAGGTCGTCACAAACTGTTTGACCCCCCCCCTCCCCCCTTGAAGTGTGACGTAGTTTCTGAACGATCCTCAATTAAAACGAAAAATTTTTGCTCACCACGATGATTCAACTGAAAATAATGATAAATTAAAAAAGACATTCACAAAACACTCAGAAAACATACACAAGACATTTAAACATTTACAAGACATTAACATATAAAAGACAACATAGTGACAGAAAAAATAAAAAATAGAAATAAAGCAAATTTTCACTGGTACTCCAGTTACTTGCTTTTTTACTTACATTTTTCACCCGATTTCCCTACCTATTGCTATATTTAAAACGAACACAAATGCCTATTTTTCCCGAATTTTCTACCTATATTTATATTCTAAACGAAACTATACCGCCCAGGTGCAATTACCTACACTAGGGTTAACGTCCCGGGACGCAACCGTCACCTGAGCGATCTTTTCTGAAAAGAAAACAATTAATTAGTTAATTATTAAAAAATTATCAAAAACTTTTAATTTTTACTTCCACATGCATTAACTTTTAAGAATTAAATAAAAAATTTACTTTGCAAAATTAAAAAATTGTTTAACAAGATTAATTAATTAAATTATTTAAAGTTAATAAAATTTTGTGAATTTAATTTAAATTACTTTCTTTAATAGAAAATTACTTTGACTTAATAAACAAAATTACAAAACATTAAAAATATTAAACATACAGTAAATAAATAACATACATATATAAACAATTAATAGAAACATTGACAATAATATTAATTTAGGTAGTATTAAGGTAGTAATCCACAAAACATGTAATATTTTTGGATGTGGGGAGTGTTAGAAATTTTGAGGGGCTAAATTTCCGAAAATATCACACGCTTTTTTTTAGATTACCCCTAAACAATACTACAAAATAATAAATTTTGTCAATGGTGTCACCATGTTGTCAGATTCCTTCCCTGTTTATTTTTAAATTTAAATATTTTATTTGGATCAATTTGATATTTAAAAAAGGCAAGAAAATTAAAAAATTTATAAATTAATATCTAAAAAAAATCATTTTCAATTTAATTTATAAATTAATATCTAAAAAAAATTCATTTTCAATTTATGAATTTATTTTAATTAAATTTATTAAAAAAATAACTATTTTAAACAGGGAAGGGGTTAATTAAAAATCGACTCACCGATCGGCGAAACATCCCTCGTCGGGACAATAACGTCATTGCCACTCTCGAGCGCTTCAGGGCCAGCTCCCGAGGATCCCTCTTTCTTGGACGCACTTCTGCGTGAGGCCGGGAGCTCAAAAAAAAATATTATAAAAAAATATGAAAAAAAGAAAAAAATATTTTATAAAAAAAATATGTTGCAGGGGCCACTTTTCTTCTTCCACATCCTTCCCAGTCTCTTCAGATATTTGGAAATTTGGAATGGAGCTGAAAAAATAAATAAAAAAAACATTTATTAAAAAAATTAAATTATACAATTATTTTCTCTTACTATGAAATGCTGAGTTATTATTTTTTAATCAATTAGTTCCAAATTAATGTTAAATTAATTTATTAATTGAAAAAAAAACTCACCTATATGAGGGGATTTCTGCGTAGTGTTAGAGAAACGATGACAGCATATCCTTTTTATAAAAGGATTTCCTTCTTATGGACCTGAAAAAAATTTAATAATTCATGATGTTATATTTGTAAAATAAAATATTGAAAATGCTCAATATTATCAATTATTTTTGAATACATTAATATTTCTAAATATTGCAATAATTTTTTAACTTTTTTTTTTATTCCATTTATTGATATTCCAGAAAAATATTGTAAAAAAAACTCACCTATAAGGGAAAATTTCTGCGTTGTGTAAAAAATACGATGTCAGCATATCCTCTCTTTCAATGGACAAATCTTTCCGCTACTGGACCAACTGCCTGAAAAAAAATAATTCATTATAGATATTACATGTGTAAAATCAAATATTAAAAATCCTGAATATTAACAAATATTTTATTATTCTAATAATTATTAATATACTTTTAAATATTTTAATATCTATAAATGTTAATATTTTGATATTGTTCTAATCATCATTTACAAATATTGAAATAGATTTTTATTATATATTTTAACTATATTGATATTTTTGCAAAATATTTAAAACTATTCTAAACTATTTTTTACTGGTATACTGAAACTTATTTATAAATTTTCAAGTATATTTTTAATGCTAATTAATATTTCTAAATATTTAAACAAAATATATCTTAAAATATACATAAATTAAAGGAAAAAATTTATCAACTTACATTGAACTGCGACTCAGCAATGCAAGATCTCCTCCAGGAGCAGCTCCGCAACAAACACCCATCCTTCATGATTGGACACCTGTAAATTGAGAAAAAAAAAATTATTTTACAGATAAACTTAAAATAAGATTTTTAAGATAAAATTAATTTATTTCTTAACTTGATTTTATAAAAAATTAAATATTTTCTTAATGTCAGTCTTTTTGTAAATTTTAATTAACAATATTTCTTTTATTAATTAAGAATAAATGTAATATAACTTTTATAAAAAATTGTTCAAATTGCAAATTTTGTAAAAGATAAATAATTAATAAGTAAAATAATAATTTTCTTATCAAAAGCAGAAAAAACTTATACTAATAAATATTTACACAAAAAAAGAGAGAAAAGATACTCACTTACTCGATGATTCAGAAGATGTTGTTTTTCATCTCATCTATAGATAAGAATTTTATCCAATTCTTCTCTTTGTTTGAATTCTGTAACGACAAATAATAAACAAAAATTATTTAAATAAAAATACAGAAATTTTTTTTTTTTAATAAATATTAAATTATTTTAACGAATTTGAAATGAAGTTTCAATTATTAGTATAAATGGAAAATTAAAACAATAAAATAATTTATTATTATATTTATAAATATAAAATTATTATGAATTTTTAAAACTTGCATAATGCATAAAACTTATATTAAAATATAAAATAGAATTTTTAGAGAAAAAAATGTTTATTTAAAAATTATATAAAATCTTTTTTTTATAAACAAATATTTACCTCAGTTGAGAAGAACTGATGCCAAAGGGGCCGAAAGGATTAACATTAGTTCAAAATTCACTTAAACATATTTTTCTCCTTTTTTTAAATGTCATTCCATCTTTTAGCCCTGTAAACAAATTTAAAAAAAGTAAAATAAATATACGATACGAATTTTAATATCATTGAAATTTTGCTTTTCAATTTTGTCTGAAAAATACGACGAAAAAATATTTGAACAGATGTAGAATATGAAATTAGTTCTGTTGTAATTTTTAGGTTAAATTTCAAAGTCATGAAATTAGACAAAATATTAAAAACTTTAATATTTAGCAACAAAAAAAAATAATTAAAATCTTAAATATCAAACTTTACAAAATATTTATTTGTTTTTCACAAAATACTTTGCAACTATCAACCGCGTTTTCTACCAACAATTAGAAATTTTTTCTTTATTACTTTATTTCAATTGTAGTAACCTTCTTTTTTTGTATCAGATTTAAAAAAAACTTAAAAGTATAGTACAAGAATGCACTACTATTTTGTAATGCCAAAAATTTTAGGTTATATTTTTTGTCAAAAAAGTTTTACCTAAATTTAATATTTTTCTTCATAACTGCCATAAACCTTTTATGCATTATCAATTATTCACATAAAACTGCATTTAATTTTCAAAAAATAAGTATAATTATCGTTTTTGATTAAAAAATACTATAAAATAAAATTTTGTTGAATAAAAAATGGTTCTTCTACTGTGAAGGCGCCAATTACAATGAGCAATAATGCTAACCCAAGATAGGAAAAAACTGATCTTTTTTACTGCTACCAATATAACAAAAATTATCTTTTCATAAAAGATTAATTATTTTTTTATTCATTTTCATATTTATTATTAATAAAATAAATATTTTATATTATTACGATTTGAAATATGCATTACCTGAATTTTTTTCTTTAACATGTCGATGCTAAACTTTTTAGGTTAGATTCCCGTGTCAAAAAATTTTTATAGAAATATCCTAATTTTCTTTTTTCCTGCCATGAAACTTTTATTACTTTCCGAATATTTATATAAAGCAATAACTAATTATCAAAAAATATTCATAATAATCGTTTTGATTAAAAAAATACTACAAGATTTAATTTGCACCAACGAAATATGGTTCTTCTCTCTCTGACGACGCCATTTGCAATGAGCTGCAATGCCAACATTGCCAACCCAAGATAACAAAAAACTAAACTAAACTTTCTCACTTCTACCAACATGAAAATAATTCCCTTTTAATAAAAACCTAATTATTTTTTATTTCTTTGCTTCTTTTCGTAATTTTTATATTTATTATTAATAAAACAAAAATTTTATATTATTATAATTTGACTTATACATTACCTATATTTTTTTTTATTTAACATGTCGATGCTAAACTTTTTTGGTTAGATTCCCGTGTCAAAAAATTTTTATAGAAATTTCCTAATTTTCTTTTTTCCTGCCACGAAACTTTTATTATTTTCCGAATGTATATATAAAACAATACCTAATTATCAAAAAATATTCATAATAATCGTTTTGATTAAGAAAATACTACAAGATTTAATTAGCACCAACGAAATATGGTTCTTCTCTCTCTGACGACGCCATTTGCAATGAGCTACAAGGCCAACATTGCCAACCCAAGATAACAAAAAAATCAACTTTTTCCAACAATGATACCAACCCTCGCAACAATCGATACTTGTCAATTTTCCTCAAGCTTATTTTAATAATATCCCATTATATAAATTATTGAATATTTCATTATCAAATAATCAAAAATGATATTAAATATGGAGCAAAGTATAAATAATAATTTTTTTTTGACAGAATTAACATAAATTGACCAAGCTAACCTTGAATTGAACAAAATTTTTCGACATTGATGACTTTACACATCAATAAAATTAATATTTAGCAAAAATATACAAAATAAACAATCGTCAAATGTTTTTATAAACATTTTATAAAATATTTCAGTAAATAATAATAAAAATCTCACCATATTTTGTTGAAAATCCAGGTGCTCAAAAGGGACGCCATCAATTCTAGAAAACATTTTTCCAAGGTCTATTCACTATCAGGCCTGTTCACTATGCACTATTCCTCAATACTCTGATTGGCCAGCTAAGAAAGCATCACTTCCGGTAAATGAACCGCCAGACGGCGGGAATGTTTGAATTTCAAAAATTTCGTTTTTGCACAAACATATCTGTTAAATTAAAAAAAATGAGATAAAACAAATTAAAAATAAATGTATCAATTTTTTTTAATTAAAAATAAAAATCTCTTTTTAATATTCAAATTCAAAAATTTACAAATAAATTAAATAAAAAATTATCAAAAGAAAAAAATAAATTTATATTAACCTGAAATTAAAATTAATACGATAACAATAAATAATTCATAAAATATTGGAAAAAAAATTAATGTAAAACAAATAAAAAAATATTTTCTATAAATTAAAAAAATTACTTCAAAATTTTTAAACAAATAAATTAATATTATTTAAATTAATTTAAATATAATTATTTTTTTCTGTATAATTTAATTATAAACTGATAAAAATTTTGCTATTTTCGACATGTTTTCCATATATATGTAAACAGATATTGCAATAAAAAGCGATAAGTCAAAAAAAAAAATTTCGAAAAAAACACTGTCTATTAAAAATTTTATTTACAGCGTGAACTACTTGCTATAAATTACTTTTTCTATACATCGCAAACACCAAGTTACCATTCTGGTTCACTGTTGTGCCGCCAAATTTTTATAGGGTCATTACCACCTGGTAATAAAAACCGCAAACCGTAAATTAAATCTCCTCGCTATAAATCACAATTTTTTTTACTATGTCGCTATGAATTTAGTAGGACTTTTATAACCAATTTTTAGATTCTTGATAAAATGCATCTTTCATCAGTTTTTTTTTTTTTATTTTTATATATTATAAATGATTTAAGGAATTTTTATTGCAATTTATAAATATATAAACATTCTTCAGTGCGGCATTTTTATTTCATTGGAGATGAAATATTTTTTCAATAATGTAACATGCTATATTTTTATCGTGTTTTTACAGTTAAAAAAATATATTCAATTAATTAATATTCCTTTAAATTAAAAAAAAAATCTGTTTCTTTATCCCAAAAAAAGTGATAATAATAATAATATTCTGTTCTGTACTAATATATTTAAATTATAAAATTTATCAATTTTATTTAAAATTCTTCAATTAATTAATTGAAAATTCTATAAAATAAAAATTCGGAAAAATGAAATTGAAAATTCTGGCGTTAAAAATTCTAATCACTTATCAAAATTCTGTTTGTTAGTGACAATTAAAAAAGGTTAACAAATAAAAAATTGTGATATGAATAATTTTTGGCGACCCACCCTAAGGTGATGCATAATAAAAAAAAGCCTCTTAAAAAAAACGTAGGTCGAATGGATTTTTTAATAATTTGTGTTCTACAACCTACGCGCACAAGAAATTAGGATCAATTTTGCATTCACGATTGACAAACTTTATATTTTAAAATCTAGGACAAAGAATTAATCATCAAGAAATCATTTCTGAATGATATTTATGTTCTTAGGCGCGCATGAATAGAAGACGAGAAACAAAATGCTTTTGTATTTTGCGCAATAATGGATGAACTAATCTCAGGTCAACTGTCTTCAAAACATTAATTGCCAACAATGTTAGACAACTAAATATTCAAATCACATCCTTTCTGCTGTGCAATGACTAATTTCATACGGTGTATAGTATTAAGATTTTTTTTTTTTTCATAAATGTAACATTAATTAAAACCACCATTAATTAGTAATACTCTAGAGACAGTTCTATGTTAGTCAATTAATTAAAAATAATTATTATTAAAAATAATTAATTTTGCTATTAATATAATTTTTATCTAAATATATAATAATAATTGAGGAGCCGGATCGTAGAACCGATTCTTCGCTCGAACTCACGCAGAAGTATTGTCCGCCCCTCCACTATACCATCAAATTTTAAAACTCATAAATAAAATATTTAAAAAATATTAGGTTATGCAGAAGAAAAAAATACATATTTTATCTATTTGAAACTTTTTTCTAAAATGTAATTTATTAGTACTAAAAAATGAAAACTGAAAAATTTTTTTTTCGAAAATAAATTACTTTTTAATAAATATATCGTCCTTTTTCGGTCAAATATTGACGAAATTTTGTGAAATTTTTTAAGCATACACAATATACACAACAGAAGCCTACAAGCTATAAAAAATAAGAAAAATCACATTATTTATTTATTAAAAAATTTTAAAAGACGTCATTTACAAATAGAGGAATTTCACTTTTCAACACAAAAAAGTATGCGATGAATTTTCAAATTATGAAAACTTCTCGCGAGAAACTTTTTCCTTTACTAATCAGGAAGTTTTTCCCACAATTTCAAACTGATTCGAATATAAATAAAGAAAATACGAGGAAAATAGCGAAACCGTACTTTCGTTCGCAACGAGAATGTAAAAAGGCAGACATGTTTGTCGTCGCAACGTCGCGCGCGCGCACACACACACACACACATATATGTAAACAACTTGAGGAAGCCTTAGTTGCTGCTGTGTGTGTGTGTGCGCGCGTGTCATTGCGACGACAAACATGGCTGCCTTTTTACATTCTCGTTGCGAACGAAAGTACGGTTTCGCTATTTTCCTCGTATTTTCTTTATTTATATTCGAATCAGTTTGAAATTGTGGGAAAAACTTCCTGATTAGTAAAGGAAAAAGTTTCTCGCGAGAAGTTTTCATAATTTGAAAATTCATCGCATACTTTTTTGTGTTGAAAAGTGAAATTCCTCTATTTGTAAATGACGTCTTTTAAAATTTTTTAATAAATAAATAATGTGATTTTTCTTATTTTTTATAGCTTGTAGGCTTCTGTTGTGTATATTGTGTATGCTTAAAAAATTTCACAAAATTTCGTCAATATTTGACCGAAAAAGGACGATATATTTATTAAAAAGTAATTTATTTTCGAAAAAAAAATTTTTCAGTTTTCATTTTTTAGTACTAATAAATTACATTTTAGAAAAAAGTTTCAAATAGATAAAATATGTATTTTTTTCTTCTGCATAACCTAATATTTTTTAAATATTTTATTTATGAGTTTTAAAATTTGATGGTATAGTGGAGGGGCGGACAATACTTCTGCGTGAGTTCGAGCGAAGAATCGGTTCTACGATCCGGCTCCTCAATTATTATATTATTAGATAAAAAATTAATTGGCTCAAGTAAATATTTATTTGATAATAATCAAGTAACTATTTGAAACAAATAAATTTTTTTTCTATTCTATTTAATAATAACTATAAAAATTTATTTCAACTCTCCTTTATATGAAAATATATTTAAGGCATCGTGTAATTTATAATTTATTAATTATATACAAAATATATAAACTCGAAAGTGCAAATCATATGCAGATATTAACAATATTGCGAAATTGCAAATCACATTGTATTGTATTGTATTGACTATTCTTAATTACTTTCCTCGATTATTATTCATTTACAAATATATAATACATATATTATATAGATGACTCTCACTATTTATATTTTATAGAAGGACTTTAGAGAGTAAATGATACAATATTTTTTACCTTCAGGCATTTTTGGACGAATTAAAAATTTCTCACGAGACCTTGAGAATTATTTTGTTGCAAAAAAAAATAATGAGGTTTCATTTATTATTATTTTTTTGGTATATATGCAAAATTAATTGATTTTTTAACACTGGTTTAAAAATGCAGTATTTTAATTTATTTTATTATTATTATTGACTATTATTGTTACTATTATTATTGTTAGAATAATTATTTTTATTTTGTTATTTATATAAAAGATTTTTTTTTTACAATTTTAACGAATTTTTAGTTACATAAAATCTATAAGTCTTTCCTGGTTACTATTATATTGTGAGTTATTATACCCATTATTAGAGACACAATTAATTTAAAAAAAAAAAAAAAAAAAAATTTCTTATACCAACGTTTCTTTTTTAGGAAAAATCAATGCAGTTTGTATAATACAATTGAAGAAAACTAGATATATTTCTAACGGTATATAACGAAAAAGTACGATCTTATCGACGGATCGTTTTAAAATCGATATAATATAAAAAAAAAGGTGATTGCAAAAAAAATTCTGATCAATTAGATTGACTTGGTTGTATTTTATAATATATATCTTGTGTTGTAAATCTTTTATTACACCGTATAGTATTTTAAAGCGGAAATTCAAGTTATATATAGGAGAATCGACCTCGATTGCTTATAAGCTTCACCCTCTACGTATATGATTAAATATATTTATATATTAAATTTTGCATCAGTCCTTGAGATCATAAACCTCCAGACAACGATCGTAAACATATATATATATATAGATCAATAGGATCAATGTTAAAAAGAATGACGGACCAATTTGTCTATAAGATCATTAAATTTCATTTTTGAGACACGTGAATACACAGAAAATTAAAAGCCATTAAAATAAGCTGTAAACTCGAAAAATTAATTTTTTAGAATTGTCACTGACAA